TCCTCCTCCTCCTCCTCCCTTCTTTCCCTTCAGGCCCAGGCAGGCTTCGGGGCTCGAGCGACGTTGGAGCAGCGCGAAGGGGGGCGCGAGGCGACGGGGGGAGCGACGGGGGAGCGGGAGGGGAGGGAATGATGGGAAAAATCCCTGGTGGTCTGGGAGGTCCTCGGTAGTCTGCGGGGTCGCTATAGGGGAACGAAGAATGACATAAACAGAAAAACTCTGAGGTCCGCGCGGACTTCTCGGATCCGCGCTGGACCCCGCTGGCGGCGCCTCCGGCGCCGCCCCTGGCGCTCTCCGCGCACCAGGGAGGGGGGTCCAGCGAGGATCCGAGAAATCCGCGCGCACCTCAGAGTTTTTATGTTCATGTTATCTTGCGTCCCCCTACACTAGGGGATCCCCGGTGGTCTGGGGATCCGGCGGCCGCGGTGTACAGGGTGGGACGGTCGGGAGGACTGCTCTCAAAATCGACCAATCCCAACCTGCCGGGTGGGGAAGAAGGAGCATCAAATAAATCACAGTGGGAAACCATGAAAAGTATGGTTTCCGTTGTACTTCGCTATGGTTTCGCCAGATATCCTTGAAATTAGTCTTCGATATGGTTTTAAACGAATTTCTGTGGAACTTACGTCATCCTGACCACCAGCGACGAGGAAGTGAGGCCAACAACTGTACTTCCTGACACCGTTCCAGCAAATCCGGCGGCCCCGCTGGGACTCCCAAACTGGCGCTCTCGCTTGTGACATCCTCACACAATCGGCCCCAAGGGAGGGGCCAAGAAAGCAGCCTGACACCGTTTCCAGCGAATCCAGCGGCTCAGCTAGAAGAACTTCAAACGGGCGCTCTTCTTCGGGACATCCTCACAAAATCGGCCCTAGTGGAGGGAGGGGCCAAGAGGGCCTCCTGACGCCGTTTCCGGCGAAACCAGCGATTCCGGCAGCTCCGCGGGAAGAATGCCAAACTGGCGGTCTCCTTAGGGAGACATCATCGCAAAATCCGCCCCAGCAGCGGGGCCAGAGCGACTCCTGGCACCGTTTCTGGCGATTCCGGCGGCTCCGCTGGAAGAATGCCAAACCAGCGCTCTCGCTCGGAGCAGCCCGATTACCTAGGCCGCAGGGGAGGGGGCCACGAATGCACCGTTCCTGGAGAATCTTGCGGTTCCGCTGGAAGAATCCCAAACTGGTGCTCTCGCTCGGGACATCCTCAGAAGATCGGCCTCAGGAGAAGGGCCAAGAGTGCCTCCTGATGCTGTTTCGAGCGAGCCCGGCGGAAGAATCCCAAGCTTCAACTGGCGCTCTAGATCGGGACATCCTTACACCATCGGCCTCAGGGGAGGGGCAAAGAATGCCTCCTGACACCGTATCCGGCGAATCCAGCGATTCAGTCGGTTCCGCCGAAAAATGCACAATCGGCGGTCTCCTTCGAGCTATCGGCCCCAAGCGCACGCCCCTTGCTCTGCATGACAGAAACTCCCGATCAACCGCAGAGCGGCCGACGAGTAGCTCGGCTAGGCAACTCACAACCGAGAACCTAGCACACGAAACAATGGTCTGCCAGGCTATCGATGTGTGCGTTTGGTTAGTTTTGTGTTGTGTGTATATATTTGAATCCCCACCCGACAGGTTGGGGCGTAAGATTTAATGAACGGATCCCCCGACCCGCCCACCCTGCATCCCGCGGTCGCCAAATCCCCAGGTCCACCAGTGATCACCAGAACTCCCGCCCCCCCCCCGCGCATTCGACGGACATGACAAAACTGAATAGAACAGAGCATGACATAACATAGCAGCATGACAGACCATGCCAGGATATGACAGCATGACCGAACATGACTACAGAGAAGAGCCTGACAGAACTGAGCATGACAAAACACAACATAACATACCAGAACATACAAGAAGACAGCATAATCGTTTCTCCCCACACGACAGGTAGGGGCCCGCTAGATTTCAAGAACAGACCTTCCGACCCGCCCAACTCGGGGGCGGCAAAGAGGGGGGCGTCCAAGAGAGGGGGGTGCAAATCATGGCCGACGGCATGTGCGCGGCCCAGCGGGGGGGCCAGGGACGCAAGACGTAATGAAACAAGAAGAGGCGCCATGAAATCTGGGAAGATATCATGGCCCCCGCCATGATATCCACCCCCCCCCTAGTCATCACCCCCCTCTTTTCCGCTCCCGACGACAGGTTGGGGCCGTTAGATTTCAAGAACAGACCTTCCGACCCGCCCAACCTGCATACAGTCGGGGCGCTGACCTAAGGAGCCCAAAATAAGGAACGAGGCCCCTTTTCTCTAGAAGTCGAACTTCGATTTCCCATCGAAAACCTAAGGAAACTCCGAGGCAAACTGTGAAACGATCAAGGAACACGGAGCCCCTACCCAACGAAAAGAGTTCCTTCGTCAGCGCCCCGACTGTACCGCGGCCGCCAGATCCCCAAGTCCACCGGGGAGCCCCCGGCCCCGCAGCGCGTGGCCCGCGCGCGCGCGCTGTTCTTCGGGCTCTCCGCCGTCCACTCGCCGTGGCCCCCGTAGGGAGGAGGAGGAGGAGGAGGAGGAGGAGGAGGAGGAGGAGGAGGAGGAGGGAGGAGGAGGAGGAGGAGGAGGAGGAGGAGGAGGAGGAGGAGGAGCAGGAGGAGAGAGGAGGAGGAGGAGGAGGCAAGGAGAGTGGGGAGGAGAGGAGAGAGGGGAGGGAGGAGGAGGAGGAGGAGGAGGAGGAGGAGGAGGAGGGATGCGGAGGATGAGAAAGAGGGATGGTCAGGAGGAGGGGAAGCGCCGAAGGTTTCGGTGGGGATCGCTCGAAGCTAAATACTGTGCTGCTTTTCCCCAGAATGGCGTCAGCGACGCATGTGCTTCTCGACTGTTGCGCGTTCAAGTTTTCACTCGGCACCATAATCTAGATCATTGCAAATGTGCGAGTATTCATACGGGCGTAGCACCACGCCTGATGAGCGGCGTCATTGAGCCAACACGGCCACTTCCGGCTGATGGTGCTGCTGATGGTGCTGCTAGAGAGCGGGTCCCCCCTCGGCTAACTGTCAACCACATCCTCCGACCCCCGCTTGCCAGGGATGAAAGGCGCGTGAGACACCCTCCCCGTTTCCTCAGCCTGCCTCGGCCCGAGGGAGGAGGAGGCGGAGGAGGAGGAGGGGGGGAGATCCCCAACAACCTCCGTAGCCATTTGGGCTCAGGGTTGTTTTAATGGCCTACGGGCCCCAAGCCACCCAGATGGATTCCTCGGTATAGAATTGCTTTCCATACTTGAGTTTCAAAGAATAGCTTGCCATGTCGGCAAGGTTAGAAGACCTCTTCGGGAAGCTGCTCGCAGCCGTCAACGGTCTTGCTGGCAGGAGGCAGCTCAGAGAGTGGTTGCTCAGATAGGCGGTTTCTGCCTCAGCAGGTGCAATCATAGGGCTGCACGCTGGAACCGCTGGGCCGAGGGAGTGCGATGCATGCAATGTTCTCGGCAGCTACGAGAGCTTGCTGGAGGCGCACGGCGACGGATCCAAGAAGGCTACGGGAGAAGACATTCGACATTCAACGCAGGCTGGCTGCTGCAGGGCAACCTGAACTAGCCAAGAAGTGGTGCTAATACCGTTCGGGGAGACGGGCTTGTGCACACCCCGATAACAAGCTGTTGCAGAAGGTCGGTCGCGCGCTGGAGCCGCCGAGTTCGGAAGATGTCTCGGCATCCGAAAGCGCAGAGGAACAGAAGCTCCAGGAGACGATTTACACATCGAAACTGTGTACATCTTGTTATACCGGCGAAGAGCTGAGCGAGCAGGGCATTCAGACGGACTATGTGTGTTGTTCTGAGGGTGGGCGCGATGCACAGTTGCAGGCCTTGGAGGAGCAGCTCGTAGATGTCAAAGACATTCGTTTCACCATCCGTGCTGACGTGCTCCGCCAGCCAAGGCCAGCTGGAGATGAACAGTATCGTGGACTAGCTAGAGCGATAGGCAGCGGCCTGGCCAGCCACCAAGGGGAGTCTGAGCCAGACAGCGGCCTTGCCAGCCACAAGGAGGAGCACCTCGAGCCAAGCACGGGCCTGGCCAGTCGCCAGGAGAAGCCCCTCGAGCCAGGCAGCGGCCTGGCCAGCCACAAGGGGGAGCCCCTCGAGCCAGACAGCGGCCTGGCCAGCCACAAGGAGGAGCCCCTCGAGCCAGGCACGGGCCTGGCCAGCCACGAGGGGGAGCCCTTCGAGCCAGGCAAGGGCCTGGCCAGCCACAAGGAGGAGCCCCTCGAGCCAGGCACGGGCCTGGCCAGCCACGAGGAGGAGCCCTTCGAGCCAGGCAAGGGCCTGGCCAGCCACAAGGAGGAGCCCCTCGAGCCAGGCGGCGGCCTGGCCAGCTAGAAAGGGGAGCCCCTCGAGCCAGGCAGCGGTTTGGCCAGCCACAAGGAGGAACCCCTCGAGCCAGGCACGGGCCTGGCCAGCCACGAGGAGGAGCTCCTTGAGCCAGGCAGCGGCCTGGCCAGCCACAAGGAGAAGCCCTTCGAGCCAGACAGGCTGGGGGCCATCTCCTTGCTCCGACCCAACCCCAAGCCCCTCGCGATGCCCAGACCACCAACTTGTATCAGGTACTGCGGGTCTGGTGGATCCAAGATGCAAGTGAGTAGAAGATTGCATAAGGATTGGCCCATCCCGTGCTTTGCGTGCAGTCTGAAACAATAAGGGCCTGGGAGGTTATTGGGGGTAATGGGGTTAAGGGGTTGGAAGGGAGGGGCACGGGATGCCGGGACGGCATTCGCTCTCGCCAGCCGCCCCCTTGGCCCTCGATGGCTGCATCGAGGCAAGGGAATCCAGCCGCCTACGGCCAAGGTCTATGGGTGGGTGCTGGCTCCCTGGGGGTCAGGGGACTTCGGAAGCACCTACCTCATTCGTCCCTCTTTTCCTCCCTCCTCTCGGCCTTCCTTCTTCTCCTGGGTGCTTCCTTAGGCTTCCCTGTCCATACTTTTTGTCTGTTGCCGAGCCCAATTTGGCCTTCATACACAACAGTGAAACCGGGAGGTCCCCAGCGCGCCTCCGGGGCCCTGGGAGCCTCACACCCTAGGACACCTCCAGGTTGACCCACATGTCTTCTCATATGGCTCGAGAAAGGATCCAACATCGGACAGGCCTCAAGAGCACCCAAAACGGCTCCCAAACGGCCCGCACACCCAAGACGCCCTCCGATGACCTCCAGGGTTGCGAGAGGACCTCGAAGAGGGCCGCACGAGGAGAAACTCATATATTGCTTTGAGTTGTTTACGTATTTATCGCGTTATCGCCTCTTCGGGCCCATAATCCGAGACGGCCCGAGAGGCCCCCGAACCAGTCCCAAGAGGGCCCCCAGAAGGCCTTGGAGGCGGCCGAAGAGGATCCCTAAGGCGGCCCAAGAGGCCCCCACGGCGGTCCAAAAGGCCGTCCAAGGCCGAGAGAGGAGGGCCCAAAGAGGGGCCCTAGAGGGAGAACTCGAAGGAGCCCGGGGAGCCCTCCCCCAAACGAAGGCCCGCCATGCCTCCAACGTCGTGCCCCCCAGAGAGGCCCCCAAGAAGCCTCCAGAGGGCCCCAGCAGGCCCCCAAGAAAACACGCAACAGACCACAGGAGACCTCCGAACGGCCTCGTCGTCGTCATCCGTGCGCATCAGGCATGCGGGTGAAGGGTAGTTCCTTCTTCGAAATGGAGCTCTCGCTTCAGACTCCCTCAAGTATCACTCTCCCGGAAATTAGCACGTCTGCGATATCTATAGTTAAGGAGGGCAGTCCCTTGGCACAACGGTGATCTCTCGTGAACGCTAAGCCAAATTTGGCGCCTGTCCCTCAAGGCTGCGCGGCGTCGACTTGTGAGAAGGCATGCTCGTATGGACTTGTGAGGAGGAGACATTGTGCAGGAAAGTGTATTGCAGCATCGTTGATGAACCCTGGCTTCACTCTTGTCCTCCTCCTCCTCCTCGTCCTCCACTTCCTCGTCCTGCTCCTCCTCCTCCTCCTCCTCCCTCCTCCTCCTCCTCCTCCTCCTCCTCCTCCTCCTCTCCTCCTCCTCCTCCTCCTCCTCCTCTCTCCCTCTCTCCTCCTCTCCTCCTCCTCCTCCTCCCCCTCCTCTCTCCTCCTCTCCTCCCTCCCCTCCTCCTCCTCCTCCTCCTCCTCCTCCTCCTCCTCCTCCTCCTCCTCCTCCTCCTCCTCCTCCTCCCTCTTCTATATATGGCAATGGTGGTGGAAAACGGGCCCATCACTCCTGATCCCTGTCATTCGCTGCGAGGGGTCGCCGTCGCCAGGCCTCCGGCGGCGCGGTGATGCTCAAGACAGCCGGGCTCCTGTACGGCGTCACGACGTCGGCGAGGTCCCCAAGACGCGGTCCGAGATGCGAGGCCGGAGTGGGAGAAGAGGGTCCTCAGGTCTGGGGGGCGGAGCGTGCTGCAACGATGCGACGTCGGAGGCCTGGGCCTCGGTATGGGACGTCGTCTTCGTCCACGTCGTCGTCATCCTCCTCCTCCTCCTCGTCGTCGTCGTCTCGGCATCCTCCTCCCGCCGCACTGTTCTCCCCTGACGCTCCTCCTCCTCTCTCGCATCCTCCCCCTCCTCATCCCGCTCATTCCCTCCCTCCTGCTCATCAACCTCCTCCCTCTGCAGCTCCCTCTACAGCTCCCTCTTGCTTCTTCTCCTCGTCCTCCCTTCTCATCCAACCTTCCTCCCTGAGCGCAGATAACTCCCCCCCTGTCGCACCACCAGATGGGTCCGTAGGCTGGTCTGAGCATTTCGCCTTGAGACTCCTCTGCAACCCATGGCCCTAACATTCAGCAGCTCCAACAGGAAAGGATGGAGAGCCGGTCGCTTTCAAAGTGCGGCTCACAACGCCGCGCCGCGCACACTCGCTGCAAGATCTCCTGGAACTCACAAGGATGGAAGCGCAATCGCTTCCAAAAATTGGCTCTCGCACCAGCGCCGCGCCCAGCGCCGCGCACCCTCTCTCGAACATCTTCCACCGGCTGCCGGGCTGGAGGGCCGGCTCGTCTCCGGAAGCGGCTCCCGCCCTAGCGCCGCGCACTCTCGTCGGAACAGCTTCGAACAACGAATGCGGGATGACGATTAATAAAAAAATGGGAGAGAACGATAAAACAATTGTTGCCTGCTATTTCTGCACAAGTTTCTGACTGCAGGAGAACGATTTAAAACATAGTTTTCCAGCCCGCGGCCGGTTTTTTCTAATCGTCTCCCGGGCGCCGCCGCGTGAACACGACCCCCGGTCATTTATCAATCGTCATCCTCCACTACAAGGACGGAGTGCGGCTCGTTCTCAGTGTTGCCTCACCGCAGCAGCGCACTCTTCGACGAGCCCCGCGCGGTCCGCACGACCGCTGGCAGCGGAGCAGGACGCCCTGCCCAAGCGTGAGACACGGCCACGACGAAGAGCAGGGAGGACGAGAACCACGGCTCGTTTACAAACTGCGAGGAGAAAGAGAGAGAGAGAGAGAGATGAGGACGAGAAGCACGTGAGAACGGCTCGTGTTCAAAATGCGGCTCTCCGAGCGAGACGGTCTCGAAACCTGCTGTGGATCGAGCGCACACGCTGGGCACCGGCTGCGCACGAACGAAAGGGCGGCTCCTTCGGAAAACCGGGCACTCGCTCGGGACTTCCGCGGGTGCGTGGCGCCACGGGTGTGAAAACGGGGCGCGCTCACACGGATGAGGCGGGACCCTCTCTGGAGAGGGGGCTACCGCTCGCTACGCCCTGGAGCTTTCTCGTCGTGCCTCCCTGAGCTTCAGTGGGAAGGGGGAGGGCGAGACTGGGCAAGGCAGCGGAGAAGGGGGACTGGAGTAAGCTCAGGGCGCGCCGAGGCTGCTGCCCCTGCGTCCCAAAGTCCCCCCCTCACCGGCCCCTGCCAGGTTCCCGAGCTGCGGGAGGCGCGATCCTTCACAGAACGGCTTCTCGCCGGGTCCAGCAGGCTCCTCGGGCGCTCGCCATTCCAGGGGCGCGCCAGGAGCCTGCTGGACCCGGCGAGAAGCCGTTCTGTGAAGGATCGCGCCTCCCGCAGCTCGGGAACCTGGCAGGGGCCGGTGAGGGGGGAACTTTGGGACGCAGGGGCAGCAGCCTCGGCGCGCCCTGAGCTTACTCCAGTCCCCCTTCTCCGCTGCCTTGCCCAGTCTCGCCCTCCCCCTCCTCATCGGGGCAGGGTGAGGAGGGGAGGGAGTTGGGTAGGGGGGGCGGCGGGGGAAGGAGGATGCAGAGGAACAGGAGGAGGAGAGAGGAAGAGGAGGAGGAGGAGGAGGAGGAGAGCGACGACCGACGAGGAGCAGGGCAAGAAGGGGCGTGGGAGAGCAGGCAGGCGACCAGGAAAAAAGGAGGGTGGCGGGGGGGGCAGGGAGACGGGGGAGGGAGGGGGGCAGGGGAGAGGCAGGCAGAGAGGAAGGGGCGCGAGAGAGGGGGACGGAGAGGCGAGAGAGGGGCGTGGGCGGAAAGGGGAGGGGGAGGAGGAACTGGAGGAAGATGGAGAGGCAGCCAGAGGGAAGGGGGGGATAGAGAGAGAGAGACAGTTGGATAGGAGGGGGGATGGGTGGGATGGGGGGGAGAAAGAGGGTGATAAGGATGACATGAAGGACGCGGAGGGACCAGGACCAGGAGCCAACGAGTAACTACGTGTCTTTGAAGGGGGAGTCAGCGAACACGAAGATCGGGAGCGGGACGAGGAGGAGCTGGGAAGGGCAGCGCCACCACCCGGAGGACGGAGACGAAGAGGGAGGCTCTTCTTGGCGTTCGCCACGCACGCGCACGTGGCACACGACTCGGGGCGGGGCCTCCTGCGGCAACGGCCGCGCTGACCTCCTCGCCGAGGCCCCCGGGGTGCTTGCGAGAGGCGGCCCCGGGTTGGAGTCCGCCGAAGGAGGACGGCGGGGGGCGGCGGAGGAGGAGGAGAAGGAGGAGGAGGAGGAGGAGGAGGAGGAGGAGGAGAAGGAGGAAGAGTGCAAGCCCAGCGCTGAGGGCTCGACCCCACGCGCGCCGGCAGAGACGGGGCGCGTGGCTGCTGCCGCAAGCGCGAAGCGAGACGCTCCCGCCCCCCGCCCCCACCTCACCCTTGGGGCGTGGGCCCCGAGGCGGAGGAGGCGGAGGAGGAGGAGGAGGAGGAGAAGGAGGAGGAAGAGGGCCACGATGCGTCTGATCCTCCTCCGCCTCCACCTCCTCCCCCCTCTCCGTTGCGTGCTTCCAGGCGCGGAGCGCATATGGGGGCGTCGGATGCTGAGCGGCGGCGCCAAGAGCGCGGGGGTGTCGAGGATGTGTGGTGTGTCATTGCCGGCTGCTTGGGGGTCGAGGGGATGAGCTCGACGAGGTGATGTGCTTTGGGGGTGAGCTCGACGAGG